ATTTTAAAGCTCTACTACTACTCTTTTAGCCACTGTGGGCTTCCATAATTGTGAGCATCTCTTTAATGGGGCACCTGGGCAAAAAAATAATTATACATGGCCCCAATCTGATCTATTAAAAAAAAAACTTTCCATTAAAATCTAAATTCTTGGGACCAGGGATTTAGCTTAGTGGTTTCACCACAGCAGGACCAGCACAAGAACCCAAGTTCAATTCCCAGTACAAAAACCCCCACTAAATTCTTTTGGCTGCATTTTTCTTATTAGAGTATCTGAAAATCAACCAGTCACTACTTTTCGTACCGAAACAGAACCCAACCCTCCATATGGATTGAAAAAAGAATCTTACTAACCTACTCTTTTGCAAATGCATTATTTCTACTTGAGAAGTACTTTTACCCAGTATATACCTATTATTTTCTTACTGCTCCCTTAATTCTCTATATATCCCCGAGGTGACAGGGCCAACAGGTTAGTTTTGTGGGTTAGATTCCTTAACTAATGTAATCCAGGTTAAGTGGATAACTGTTGTGTATAGCATTTACTTCTGCTGTCATTGGCAATATAGCTGTGCTCAATAATTCAGGGAGGTCTCTGAGAAGATGACCACCAGTTCCTACATGTCACACTAACAGGTGAGAATTACGGAGCACTTAGGACTTGCAGTGACTGTGTTGTTTAAAAGGCACTGATTCATTTAATTCTCACAAAAATCCAACGAGTCATATGTGTTATCCTCATTTTATAAGAAACTGAGACAAAAGAATATTAAGTAGTCTATGTACATGTAAATTCTATTCATCTCAATAAAATATTTACCTTTAGCATTTTCTTGTTATTAAAAATCCTTCATAAACATTATTAGTGTTTCATAATGTTCCCTTGCATAGATGTAAAATAACTTGACCATTCCCCCAACACCAAGAAGTTCTGGTTGCTTCCAACTTTATACTATTACAAATAATCCTATCGGAAATTCTGCATGAAGTCTTCATACACACATTTCATTATCTTCCTATGATATATTCCAAAAAGAATTAGTGGGCCAATAAATTTGTTGGATGGATAAAGTAGATAAATCTCCATCATTTTGTCTTATCAGTTTTTCCTCTTGCCTTTATGCTTACAAAATTTCTTCCCATCCCAAGGATGGGAATAGTCTGTATTTTGTTCTAATTTTACTTTTAACTTGTAAATATATATATTTGAATATTGGTTTGTTTTTTTGGGTTTTTTGGTACCAGGGATCAAACTCAGGTCCTTGCACTTGAGCAGCAGGCGGTGAAACCACTGAGCTAAATCCCCAGCCCTGAATATTGTTTTGATGTATGAAATGAGCTAGAATGATATTTTCCTCTGAATAGCTAACCAAGTTTTCTAAACTGTCAGTTGAATAGATCTTCCTTTTCTCAGTGATTTCTGATCCTTCTTTAATATTCATGTGTATGTATATGATATACACATTTTCTCTCTAACATCCATTTATGAGCAGATTCTTCTCCACTTACTAGTGTATTCTTTGGAGAGAAAAGATAATAGGCTCAATATTTTAAGTCCTGAACTTAAGATACTAATGAATCATTTGGATGGAAATATACAGTAGGACATTAGACACACAGACTCGCTACCTTGCAGCTTTAGAAAGCTCTATTTGAGGGTGAAAGATTACACAGGGAAACTCAGGGAACAGAAGTGAGAGCCAAGAAATGAAGTATGGGAAACCAGCATGTCAGGGCTGGGTGAAGGAAACTGGCCACATGTGAAGAAGGAGACAGTAGGTTAAGGAGAAGAATGAGGAGAGAAGGGAATAGCCTTGGGAAGATAAGAGTTCCAAGCATCATCAGGAATTATACATATTTCTTGGCTTAACTGATCAAAACAGTAGCCTAATATTCTACTTCAGCTGTCAGAAACATACTTTCAAAATCTGGGTTACCAAATTTTATCAGTAGTTACCAGATCCAGGGTCTGGATATTAGCACATCATTATACCATCTCTACAGTATGTAGAGAAGGATACCTGCCTAAATGTTCTAGTACATTTTAAATCTATTTATAGGCAAATTACAGCTTTGAAATGTTTTCAGTTATGTTTTATTTTGGGAGTTTTGATATAATTTTACTCAAGTACTAAAATAGGTACTTTCAAGAGAGAAGCATTTCTGGAAAGAGGTAGATTAGCTCAAGAGAATAACCATATAGGCTACACAAACTGACTGTTGTTAGCGCTGAAGAAAAACATATCCTAGCTCATGAAAGACTGTATTTTTAGCCTTTGTGTACCATTTAATTAATGTTAAGCCAAGCTGTTAAGATTCAAATGTTTCTACTGTTTTACTGACATGCTTATCATCGGACAAACACCTTTTCTGGTGCATGACAAGAAGCCTGTTGGCCTGTTATTTTGAACTGTCTCTAATATTTGACTATATTTAGGCATAACTGAAGAGTCTGTTTACAAAAAAAAGTGCCTATCTGAAGTGGATGTTTCTAAATGTAAACTATAATAAGTACCCTGCTAGATATCACATTTCCAGCTGGAAAACCTCGAAGGAACTCAGAGCTTACACCTAGACTCTCGTCAATGAATTACCACATGGGGAAAAAATGTTTTCAACTGAGAAGGAAAAAGAAGTGTTATATAAATTCCCTTTCATTTCACTTGTCCAAATAGATATTATTTTATTTCTACTACATCTGAGCCTCTGCTCAAAACAAGAACAACAAAATAAAACCAAAAAACCCCCTCATATGTTTATAACTGAAAAACTGTCTCTCTCCAAACAAAAACTCTCCATGGAGACAGACCTCTACACCCATATTCCTCTAGAGACCCAACAGCAAATCAAAGGCAGCCCTGGATATGGTTTGCAGAGATCGGATTTCTCCACAACAAAAAGCATAAATGAGGAAGAAGTTCAAGACAGAGATGGTGCCCTGACACAATCAAAGGCCCAGCTAAGTCAGACATGGCGGGGCAAGGCCAAGAACCTTCCTGCCTGAGCAGTGATTTTGAGAAAGGCAGACAGAGTCCCTGCAGGAGTGCCAGCACTCAAGTCAACCAGCTTTCATTCATATTGAAATGTCTGACAGATTGGAATTTACCCATGACCATCCCTACACCTCACACTCCTATTACCACCATGTATACCTGATCTCGTCAAACATGGCAGGAAACCCTATACCCAGTCAATACTATAGGTCCTAGACAGACCTTGAGCTACTTATTAGCTCATTTACATTGCTCCATCTTTTTCTTCAAAATTCACCCAATTATATGAAAACACATACTAAAAATCTTGCTGATAGATACACCTGGCTCAGTCATTCCTTGAGGTCATGTAAAAATGAATAGTTAAATCACTGCAAATTGTGGCCAATTCTTCATTGACTGCTGCTTAATTTTCAATAACTACCATCATTATTGATCTTAAATTATCATTATCATGTGACATGTGCTGCTTCCTTTTACTACAGATTCTTCTTGCTCTTTCATTTATCTGCTTAACACCGACTTGGCTTCTCAAATAGCTCAGATACCACCTCTTTCAGGCACACTTCCTTAACCAAATACACCCTTTACAATATCTCATATTAGTCCTTGCTTTAACCGAATTGTGTATTCCTTCTTTGGGTTCCAAAACCATCCTTTACCTATTAACTTCATAGAAGTACAGTGGACCCTCAAGTTATGACCGGCCTGACATACCAACAACTTAGGTTAATTAGGTTAATGAAAGATTCAACTGCCTGTTATATATAGTGTATGCCTAGGTAAACATCCAGATCTCAGCTGTACTGACTTACAACCAATTTAACAGTTACAACCAGCTCTTAGGAACCGAATGAATTTGTAAGTCAAGGGTCCACTGTAATCACTTTGTACTCTGTTTATAAGACATATCACCACTACTAGTCTTTGAACCCCTTAAAGGCAGGGATCTTTGCTCATCTTTATCAAGGCTAGTTGGAGTCCTATATGCCTTGCTTATCTGTATGTCAAGTTCTTTTCCCCTGCTTGGGAAGTTTTCTGCCATCACTTCTGTGAACAGATTTTTTATGTCATCTGCACTCTGTCCTGTTTCTTCATTGACTTCAATCAGTCTTACTTTATTCTTCTTTGCATCGTCTAACAGCTGCTGGATTGATTTCTCGTGGTCCCTTATAATTTTAAAGAAATTTTTCTTTTCCTGGTCACTAATTGCAATCTTATCTTCTATATCTGAAATTCTGTCTTCAAATTGGCTCATTCTGCTGCATAGACTTTCAATGGAGTTTTTAATCTCCTAGAAATCTGTTTGCACCTGTTTTATGGATTCCATTTGTTTCCTATGTTGGGATTTCATCACGTTCCTCTATTTTTTTATCTGTGTCCTCTCTAGATTTATTAATCATGTCTTGCACTATGGGCACAATCTCTGCTGTTATGTGAGAAATTATTTCTGATTTCATTTTTTCCAGATCCTCTTTGGTTGCCAGTTCAGGGAGTCCAGGTGGTTCAGTATCAGAGTGTTCCATCTCATTTTGCTTTGGGGTTGCTGTAGGTGATCTGGAAGTCTGGTTCTGAGGCTTGTTTACGTGTTTTCTCATTTTGATGGGGGCGTGCTGCTGGTGCCCGTGCGGCTCACCTCCTCCATGCTGGGAGCTATGGCACGCCTACCTGGAAGCCTCCTCTGTGCTGGGAGCTGTGGCACACCTACCCAGAAGCCTCCTCCGGGCTGGGAGCTGTCTGTTCTTCTTTATAAATGACTTCATAACATAGTGCCTGGTATTTAATAGGCATTCTAAAATGTGTGTGGAGTAACAGATGTACAAACACATTCAGAATTAGAAACAGAATTAGAGATGAGTCTTTAGAAACATTTAGTCCATCTCACTTTATCCAAAATTCCCTAAACAAGTATTTCCTAAGAGTGTGTCAAGATATTGAAACAAGGAAGTCATTATCTATCTCCAGTATAACAAATACTCATGAAAATCAAGTCAGATAAAAAGCTTACCGGCAAAGTTCCAGGCAGAGATGCATCAAAAAAGGAAACCAAAGAATTTGGAGGAGCTGCAAAGCACACTTGAGATCCAGAGAAAAGTTTGGAGTTGGAGGAGATTTGGGCATGAATTTCCAATCCTACCACAGCTGCCCATTTGTGTTCACTAAAAAGAATGAGATAATTGTTAAGAAGTAGTTACATCTAGCACCATATATGAATTTTTATAAGCCTAAGCCACAAATGTTCATTTCCTGTTTGTTTTTAACTTCTTAAAATTTTATATTCTCACATTTAAAAATGTCATTTTATTGGTGACTAAGTCAAAAGCAATTTGTAAAGAACATCTACAATGAGACTGGCAAAAAAAGAGTTTACAATGTGGCATTAGGAGGCTCACTGGCAATAGAGAACAAAACCATCTGGCATCTTCACACAATTTAGAAATGAGTATTAGGTGCAACTGCTTGGCTGACTTCAGTGAAAAAGCAGCAATTTCTAATTAACTGTAGCTTACCAGTTAATCACTTAAGTGAAGAAAGCTGATCTTTCAAATATTTAGAATTCAGGTAACTAGCAGGATACTAGTACAACAGAAATAATGGTTAAAAAGAAAATTCTCAACTTTGTTTTGAATTCATTTTATAACAGTAGCTTTATAACAAATACCAGGATAACACAAATGTAACAGATCACTAAATGATACTCCTGAAAATTTTGCAAAGAAAAACATTCAGCCATCAGACGTAGCTTTTTGGTTTTGGTCCCTCAAATCATTTCCAGTTTCTGAGATTGGATTTCAGGTTTCTTTGTTTGTGCCTGCTTTCTATCAAATCTAACAAAGTTTTTTGGTTTTTGTTGTTGTTGTTGTTGTTACCGGGGATCAAACTCAGGACCTTGCAATAGCGAGGCACACAGCAGCACCACTGAGCTAAATCCCCAGTCCATAAAGCTTTAAATACCATATTATCTAGCCTTTTCTACTTTGCTGGGTTGACACACAAGACTCTCTGGGTAACTGTGTTTATTCCTTGTGAAATCTATGTATGTCCCTATCCTGCTGTTCTCCTAAGCAATTTTGTGTATTATGTAGATTTTTGTTCACGTTTGGGGTTTTAAAAAACCAACTGCAATACATGTTCTATACCTAGTGTGTTGCAAAAAGATTAATTCCTTTTTAACATTTGGAGACAGTCTGTAAGAGGAATTAAATCAAAAATTCATTATTTAAAATACGTTTGCAGTTTCATTACATGAGAGAAAAACATACTTTCCATTCACAGGAAGATTATCTAAGTTATGAAAAGAAATGAATGCGTTGGACATTTTCTCTCTGTCCTAATTAAAAAGCAAAGATAACGCCAAGCTCCAAGTAAAAACAAAATATGAGAAACGTGGCTTATATCTGTATTTTAAAAAACTATTTAAATCTTATACAGTGAATCATAAACAGCTGTTTAGAAAACATGTAGCAAAACAAGCAAAGCTCTTTACATAACCAGGGGAAGATCTCTTCAGTTAGCCATATCACCCTTGGTCCCATACGTTAAACATAAAACGCTTTCACAAATAGCTGGGGTTTTCCAACTCATGATTTTTGACTAATGACATTATACCACCACCACACAGAGCCTGTAGACAAAGGATCCCTTTCTAGCCCTTAATAGTGCTGTGTGTCACTGACCCCACCGGTAGTGCTACCAGTACAGACTTCGATTAAAGAAAACACTTGCAATTTTACACTCGCCGAGTTCCCCCAAATATGCCTACTTTGAGTAGTTCATTTGTGGGCAAGAGGGTGAGAGAAGGCATGTTTTATTTTCATCTAGGTGTCAGGACTCTTATGTTACAGGCAAACACCCTCCCACCAAAACGTCTAAAGGCTGGGCCACAGAGGCTGTCATCTCTCTAGTCCCGCAGTTCCACTTCAAACTTAGGTGTGCAGTAACAGTATTAAAAGTTTATACCCTTTCCTCAGCTTCTGGGACGTGCAGAGGGGCTGCTGAGCCACTGAACTCTGTTCCCTCGTCCGGTTGGACGCTGACCCAGTCGGGACCCCTCTTCGGTGGCGGGAACCGCTGTCCACCCATGCTAAAGGCCAACGTCTTCCAGGGCCGAACCAACGCAGCAAGGGCGCCGCCATCGCAACTCCCGCGTTCTGATCAGGTGACTCAGTCGTCCTCTGCCGCGAGGACCGCTGGGAGGCGTAGTTTTGCAAATGGTCTAACCCTCTATAGGCTTGGACTGGAAGACTACCATTCCCGACGATCATTGCGACCCGGAGGTTGCCGGAACTTTGGTTGGGAGGGTAGGGAAAGAGAAATAGAGGGGGAGGTGGGAGGATTTCTAGGTCGGGAGGTGTGACTCCTCCTAGCGGGGAGTTGATGAGGTTTGTGAGGTGAGGATAGAAGCTAGGTGCGAGAGATGCAAATCCTGACGGGGGAGTTTATAGTCCATTTATACTTGGGAGCTGAAGTAACTGACCTTGACATCACTACGAAGACTTCTTGATCCCCTGATCCATTTAGTTTGTCTGTTTGTTGTTCTACTTCACATATCAACTTGTCCATTAAGGCAATCAGTACTTATTTGTGTGCTTACTGTCAGTCAGGTGCAATTCTTAGGCACTGGTGGTACAGCAGAGAGCAAAACAATTATGGCTTTTGGGTTTTTTTGGAGTTTACATTCTGGAGAGCACCCAGAAAAGTTAACTTCCGTGTAGATAATAAGTGCTATATTTAAGCGTAGGTGCTTTGAGACAAACAGACCTAGATCAAACCACCCTGTGCGTTTTCTGCTTATTCTTGTTCTTGGCGAGCATCTGAAACAATCTATGCTGTGGGAAGTCTTAGTAACAGATACCATCATCCTGGCAGACTACTTTTATTCTTCTGCTTCAAACCTCGTAACTCTGGTGGAAACTCCCATGATTCCTTCTATTAGAACATGTCTAAAGTATAAGATTTTATAATCTTACTTTAATTCTCCACGTAATGTTTATGACCATTTGATATTTATCTTCTGCCTCCACAGCTCCTTGTTTTTCACCACAGTATTTCCGGAGTGCAAAGTAGGGCCATCAAATATACTTGAATGAAGTGGTGCAGTGTGGAGAATACACTTAAGAAAGGAAAGAGTGGATGCTATTTGGAGTAGTAGATGCTCTAGGCAAGAAATGGATTAAAATGGTGGTGGAGGCGAAGAGAAACTGACTTATTTGAAACAGATTTGGGTTGTAAGATTGAAGGACTTAGTGAATTTCTGGCTAGTGTAACTCGGTGGCTAATGTAGTTATTCACTGAAATAAGGAAGCCAGAAAAGGAACAGATTTTCAGTGAAAACATAAGAATTTGGTTGCCTTGGAGACATACAAGAGGAGAAGTGGAGAAGGCATCATCAATGCCTGAGTATAGGGCCGGAAAAAAAGCTGCATACTTTGCATACTTCACACAGACACATTTTCCATTATGGATCTAACCTATTGATTAGACATCTGCAATTTATGATCTATTTCTACTAATACCTCTGTATAGTTATGGTATTATGCAAGTTATTCTATATTGAAGAAGAAAATTTCAGGTACAAAATAGTTAAAATGGTCATCATTTATTTTTGCTGTTTTTTTTTTACTTTTCCATCCACTATCATTGATCACATTGCTACACTAGAAGTATTGTCACATATTTAAAGATGAAAATAGAAGAAATGACTAACTTGAAGGTAAAGGTAGAGATGTGTTCTAAACTTTATCTCTAATTATTGCCCTTTATTTCAGGTACAGATCACTCTTTAGAACCTTTATCTTAGTGTCTGTCCTCTGAGTTTTCATATTTTCCACCTTTACTCTAGGTAAGTTTGCATTCTTTTTCTCATTGAGCTTCTCAGGTTTTTCTGGCTCTGACTAGGGCTCCAGAAAGTTGCCTATGAATACTATATAGTTTCACATTTGATAGAACTACAGAGGAGAAAGGAATCCTGTATCTCTAGCCAAAAAGAGAGGAGACCCTTGTTACCTTATCACTAATCAGAGTGGTTGGGAGGCAGTGCACTCCCTGGAGTGTGGGAATGCTTTCAGAACAACCATAACAGACAGAAGCATGCCTGAAGAAAATCTTCTTTGTGGGGAAAATGCACTGCAATGGAAACACATCTTCATTTATGAAGCAGTATCATGCAGTGACAGGAAATCACTCAAATGCTCCACCCCACCACTGGAGGGAGAGAAAATCCTGTGCATGTAAATGTATTTGATTCCTTTTACAAATGGAAACTTTCCAAGTTGGTGCATGATCTAACCATGATCCTTTCAAAATCCTACAAGGGTTAATGGTGGAAAAAGGAACTTGTCGCCTATTTCTCTGGTCTCTCTCTCTCTCTCTCTCTCTCTCTCTCTCTCTCTCTCTCTCTCTCTCTCTCTCTCCCATCTGTTATTTCCAGAAGTGTCTGTTAGCTTCTTTATGGTTGATCTGCTATCTAGGAGGGCACTGTTTCCCAAATGTTCTTCCTGCCTTACTTCTTAGCCAGGGAGGTTCTCTCACTGAATCTACTTCCACGGGACCATTTCTTGCCTTCTTCCTGCATGCCAAATCCAGTATCTGTCAGAACTCTCACTGACAGACAGCTTTCTAGCTGAGGGAGCTATTTTGGTTCCACCGACAAGGTGGCTGTCATTTAGAAGATACAGAGATTTTCATTTTCAAGGAGCTCAGGAGGTAGCAGGACAAAGTTTGTAACAAAAACAACATTTTCTCAAGGAAGGTTTCTCAGCTCTTATTTTATCTATATAATTGACATAGTGCAATAGATAAAGAACAAGATTTTGAAAAGATATGTAAGCCAAAGCAGATTTTGAGTTGTTACTTATAAACAGCAGTAGTTAGAAAGTATGTCTAAAATAATGCACATGGTTTTGCTATATATTCTTCAGAGAGTCTTTGGATGTCAGATGTGGAATTGATGGATTCCCTTCTGTATATGACTCAAAATCCCCATGTATCTATAAAGCACATTGATTTATGAAGACAAATCATTTTCCCCCAAATCTAACTTGTGTTTAATTGTAATCATTTCCTTTCTCATCCTTTCACTAGTTTGCAATGAATTTCTGCTTTTCAAAACCAAGTAAACAATTTTAATGGAAACTTTGCAATTTCAAGTAAAATTAAAAGATCACTTCTGCTCCCATGGCAGTGTATCTCAAAAATCCATTTGTATGTACTTTTGAATCTTAAAATTGTGTGAATTGACTTATTCTTTGATTAACTGTAATTTTGAAACAGGGTCTAACTAGATTGTCCAGAATGATCTTGAAAAGATCCTCCTGCTTCATTCTCTCATGTAGCTGGGATTACAGGTGTGTGCTACTATACCTAGAAAGATTAACTACTTTTGTCCTATGGAAACAAAGATAATGCTTTAAAAAAATTAGCAGAAGAATTTTTAAAATGCTTTTGTAGTCTAACAGAGCTGGCTGTGGATTTTTATCTTAGTATTTTCTAACAGCATGGTTAGTTTTATCTCTCTATTGGCTGTTAGTTTCTGTTCTTTGGCTATAGAAACCAAACTGCTGTTGAAATGTCATGCCCTATGAATAGAGAAGGAAAGTATCTAGATCAGTATAAATTCTTTATAAAAATTAAACAGTAACAACAACAGCAACAACAGACTCACTTAAGACGATGGATATATTATTGCAGATAGCTAAGTTAGTTAGAAATTATTTTAAGCCAGTTAGACAGGCCAGCCCTCGAGGAGCCAACATGGAGGACAATCGAGACATGTTCACTGAAGGCCAGCATTTTAAAAGAAGAGAAACTGCTACAACAGCAAGCTTCCCCTAGGGATGAATAGCAGTGATTGGTATTCTAAATAGGTATCAGTCACCTGGCTGGGGGACCAAGATCCTACCCACCCTTTCCAGGAAAGATCCCTGACCTGTCCCTTACAGGAAATCCTTGTTCTGTCCTTGTATCCTTGCTAAGTGACTTGCTTCCCCATTGGATCATCATTTAATCAATATACCTAGGTGATTATACTTACTGTAATCTTATTGGTTGATCATAATTTTGTCCCACCTCATGTCCTCTTGTGATTTCTCATTGGACCAATATTACCTAAGCAAATGTACTTGTAATCTTACTAGTGGACTATAGTTTTGTCCCACCTTGAGCCCGCCTCACCTCATGGCTTTGTCCCATAAAACACCTTTGAGAAGCAGGGTGGGCAGGCAACCCACTTTCTGGTCTCCCTTCTGTTTCTCTTAGACAGAAACTATACTCCTCTCAAAAAATTTTCCTACTCAACCTCCTTTGTTCCTAGAATTCATTCTTTGATTTTAGAGAACATGAACTCACATTTTGGATATCCAGCAGTTTTGGGAGTTGCATCTCTTCCCCATATATCAATATGACAAAAATTGACAGAATAATTTTCATGTAGGAAGAACACTGAAGCCAGAAAAGGTCCTGTAGTTGAATAAGCATTCTGAAAATGTAAAATTTCTTCTTAGAAAACCCCACATTTTAAGACCCAGTTAAGTGTTCTGAGAGGAGAAAGAAGGACCAGCACACATGCCCGCTGAGCAATTGGGAAAACAGGATTCATTTCCCATTATTTTTCCATTAAAGTCTTGGATTCTGAAAAAATACCAATGTGGAGGGAACAATTACTTTCAATAGAAGATTGCTTTGAGGTAAGAAAATACATAACTCTTCTTTCCCAGTGTAAGGAAACAGAACGCTTGTCCAGTGTGTTGGTGAGGATGAAGTGTCATGCAGGGAAGATGAGGCTAGCACGTTGCTACTGCTAGCCTGGCACACAAGCCACAATCTCTCTGGGGTTTTCCTCCTTCTGTCTACTCTCAGAGGATGGTTTGCCATCTTCCCGGGGGTTTTCTGTTCTAGATATCTGGCAAATCTGGGATGGTAGGCTATATTAAACTCAGTGTTCTTTTTGTGGTGGTTGTTGTTTTGAGACAGGGTCTCACTATGTAGTTCAGTGCCTCAGCCTCCTGATTGAGTACTGCCACCATGCCCAGCAAACTAAGTGGTCCGATAAGCTATGTTTTGCATGTGATCGGATCCCTGTAATCCACTAAGAAGCTCTCTCTCTCTTTTGTGTTTTGCCATGAGTATTTGGCCTTCAAAGTTAGAGAATTTACATACATACACACT